ACCGGGTGACACCCCGCCATAAAAGCGAGGCACCCACCCCCGGTCCCAGCTGCCACGATGCCGGCGGCCCGCCCGCAGCAGGGCAGCAGCACGGGCCCCGGGGGCTCCCCCCGGCCCTGGGCCGCGCCGAGTGGAGCCCGGCTCCTCGAGGCGGCGGCAGTGCACAGTCATCCCCCACCACCCGCGCTGAGGCCGGGGCAGCCTCGCAGCCCCCGCCGAGCCCGGACAGCCGTTCCCCTCGGGGGCCTGGTCCCAGCCCGCCCTGCGGGCGCCGCCCACACTCACCGCGGCTCTGGGGGCTGCGGGGTACAGGTCCGCAGACAGCACTCCACACCGGCCTCAGCGAAAAATGGCCGCCGAGCATGCGCACTGGCCCCGCGGCCGGAACCGAAGGGGCAGGGCCTGAGCCACGGGGGGCGGGGCTGGGATGTGACGTTAGCCTCGCCCCGCCCGGCTGCGCGGGCCTAGCCGGAGGCTGAGTCCCGCTGCCACCCCACGCCCCGGGCGCGGCCGCTGCTGTCTCAGCCTGTTTCCTGCCCCGACGCGGTCCAAGGCTAGGAGCGTCTGCGCGCCCCAACCCGCCCGACTCGGGAGCGCAGGGTGGACGGCTACGGCCATACTGTAAGCACAGGACCCCCTCGGGCTACCACATTGGGAAACCCCCTAGGGGCTCCAGGTCCAAAGTGGGGGGGAGTGACATGCTGGTGCCTTGTCCCTGCCCATTCTGTTGCCTCTCACTCCCAAACCGCAGCCCCCTGCTGGTACCCCTCTCCTGACCCACAGCCCCTGGTGCTGCCAGTGCCCTGCACATCCAACCTGCAGTCACCTGTCTTGGTCCCATCCCCCTTCCCCCTCCCAGCCCTGCACTCCCAACCCACAGACCCCTGGCCCCCCAGCCCTGCTGCCCAAGCAGCTCCTGTGTTGCGCGCACACTAGCTCTCACACACAGCTTTCTCTCCGTCTGGTTGCTGGAGCCCACACTGGAAGCATGTGACCCCCAGCAGCCAATGGCATTGCCCACTGCTCCCAGCCCCAAGCAGCCACCCCAGGAGAGCAGAAAACCCGGACGTTTACTCTTATTTTAAAAACCCACCTGGACGCAGCACAGGGGTCCAAAAAAGAAGACACGTCTGGGAAAACCCGGATGTATAGCCTCTGTCACACCTACATTTAATAACTGCAATCTAGTCCCAGCACTGCAAGTTGCAGGTTTCCTTACATCCCTGTGCGTTATCTCCTCAGTGGAAATATACAAGCTAGGCCCGGGCAGCATGGGCATAGGTGTCTGCAGTCTCAAACCAGATCTTCTCAACCGCTTCTTGGCCCACCTCAAACAGTTGGACTAAGTGCTTCCATCCCACTCGGGCTGTGATCATTAAGTATTCCTGATTTTCAGGATATAACTGCAAAGTGTGAGCCGCTACTACCAGCGATTGAGAGAACCTACTGCTCACCAAGAGGAAGAGGGCACCTCTCTCCTCTGGCGTCAATGGCACAATGCTTTCAAACCCTGCGAGCACATGTCCTCCAACGCTGAGAGGATCTTTGCTCTCAATCATCATGTACATGATTGCTATGGCTACTTCGAATACATAGTAACCGTAGCTCATATCACTAAAATCCAGAATGCCAGACACTCTGTACTGTGCAGTCTCAAGAGAAGATGCAGGGTTGGAATCCACCAAGATGTTATGGTCATTAATATCCCCATGATTGATACCTGAATGCAAAAAGGAGAGAGAAAGTATTATGTACAAACAAGAAAAAGAAAAGTAGTAAACAAAGAGTGGAAACTTCGTCAATTCTCTTGAGAGAACTAAATTGAGAACATGTACACATGATGAGGGAATGAAGTTAACACTCCCAGATTAACTGCATGCCTGTTCTGGTCTGCCTCAACAGGACCAAATTCTGACAATATTGCTAATAACCCTCATGCTTTCCTGGTTATTTATAAGAACCTTTGTTTCATTAATCGTACATAAGTACATTAGATAAGTGGCATTTGGATGTTTATGATTTATTACTTAGCTTTTATAGCACCTAAAATGTGCCACCTGCTTTCCAGACACAAAGATTCATGCACAAGGTCATGAAGCCTTTCACTGCTGGATTACCATTGTCACTAATTTATATTATTTTGAGAGACGTTGCTCTTTGACAACTGTCAGTGGCTAGTATGAAATGAGTTAGAAGCCTTCATCTAGTTCTACTAAACTCTTGTTATATTATGAAAATCTCCACAGTAATTAGGCAACCTTGCTGGGAATCTCCGCAAACAGGCTAAAACTAAACGCCCTTTTAACTCATGGAAATAATTAATTCCTCCCAGGCCTGGTTTGGGTCCTGTTCACTGAACATCGCGAGCAGCTTGTATATATTTAGGAGTACAATAAATAATTTCCTATAGTGCCCTGTATTTGGCACTTTTTACAAGCACACAAATTCTCTTAGAATCATTTCTTACATTCAGGAAGTCTTACAGCAAAACTGTTAGAAACTACTCACAGGCTCGAAAATTGCTTAGGTTGGGTAAGATTTTCTCTTTAAACTGTTGAATTACTTGGCTCACAACTTCACGATATTCGCTCTGGCCCAGGGCATGAATATACTGATCCAAAAGAGGAACATTTGCCAAGTTCCAAATGAACTTCCCTCGATGAAGACTTTTTACTAATGGATGATGGAATTTCTTCAGGAAATCATGAAACAGAAAAAAGAATATAAACAATAGTTTTGTTATCGCATACAAAGGCAACAGAAAATCTTTAATGGACTTTAACTGGCTTTAGATCTCATTTATAGAGCAGCTTTATGGCTTTGATGACCATTGCCACCAGTGTCCTTCCGCAAGATGACCTTATCATCAACCACCACCTTTGGGTGAGGCTCCTGTAAATCTTTTAGTAATGGAGATTATCCTAAATTATTCAATTAATTAAAATAGTGCCAATGATAAAATCTTACATACATGTGGCTGCTTTCAACCTCAGAAATCCCGTGGTCTCTCACAAATTCTATACTGTGTATAGAGTCAAAGCACTCCTCATTAAACTCAAAGCATCCTTCAGAAAATGCCAACTCCTAGCTTTCATTTGTTTCTGGACTATGAAATAGAGCATTTCTTCTATTGCAAAGAACTCAGAAAGACCATGAAAGGTCAGAGTGTTTTTGACACCATGGATTCCTGTCTGATATCTCTGTGTTTATCTTATGGATCATGTGTAAGTGTCACACCTAACTGTTAATACTGTGTGGCACTCTTAAAAGAATCTCAAGAATCCCAAGCTGTCATTTTCTATACCATCCAATAATACTTTATTGGCACAACTAGCTGAACAAATGTTGCTAAAATAAAAAAGAGAGAATATTCAGGTACATTAGGAGAGAACACATACGCTGTGCTAAAGCAAATGCTACAACAAAGCTTTACTTATCTAAAAAAAAGTGTCATGAGATCAGGAATGCCCACCCAACAGAGGCAGGTGTCACCCAGAAGACCTGCATACAATTATATTATGTGACTCTCATTTACTTGAAAAGGAGAAACAGCGAAGTCAGCCATACTCTGGTAGATCTAGGGAGTCTAAGTATTTCAGATTTATTGGTAATCCATAAACTACTAAATTGTTTTCTTAATCCAAAAAGTAATATTTTTTTTAAAGCTGCACAAAGGCAGAGGGGCAGAAAAGCATCTATTTGCATTTATGCCCTTCTTATATTGGAATTACCTCTCTGTATTGGTTAAGATGTCTTTAAGGCCAGATTCTGCCAGATGTATAAAATACCAGAGAACATGGACCCAGATTTTGCTGTAGAATGAAGTATCAGTTTAAAACTAGAGCTCTTGGTTTTAATAAAAGCCACTAGATATGCATGAAAATCATAGTTACAAAGACCAGGATACTGCCTCAAAACTACAATGTGATTACAGCACCTCCAATGCAAATAAAAAGACCACTTGTAGAACAATGCCACCTGCTGACAAAATACTACAATCTTCACGTACTGCCACAGTATCACAAGGTCAGCATATGCATTAGAAGGCTACTGTTAATGTGAACTAATCATTAGATTAAAGTACCAGACCTTTCCAGGAGCCTGCCTGTCACTGTTTATCATTTTGTGACAACATATTCCTATTTTAGAAATGTCTTTCCTCTCCTTTGTTCCCAGGTGAGACATATGCAGACTAACAGGGAAAAGAATAAAGCCAACTGTTCACAAAATGGCATCAATTGCACAAAGAAAATAAACTGGGAAAAAAGAGAATGTGTACCATTATCTCTGCTTTACAGATGGGGAGCTGGAGCCATAAGCATATATTTAACTTTTTCAAAGTCACACAGGATATCTGAACCCAACCATCTCAAGTCCCTACCTAATATACTGTTCTTCCTACCTGACAGTACTATTCAATCCATTGCCTTTGTTCAATCACATAGGTATGACTCTCTGCAAAGACCTTACCCAAAACAATTTCCTGTGCATGGGTACCTGCTACTTTTCATTTTAATAATAAGTGAAAATAATCTTCAAGCTGCAACTGTACCAGCCAGCTGCTGCTAAAATGCTGAACGGTGGCTGTGAGCTGCCAAGTTTGGATTCAGATCCAAATTCCCATAAATACCACAGTTATTCAGAGTAGAAATTTTGATTTGGTCCCATCTAAAGAAAAACCCAGCACAACTGCCAGGGAGGCACTGGGTTTGAAACAAGCATGTAAGATTTCTGGCCCTTAATCCTATAATAAGCTTTGTTGACCAGCATACAAATTATTACATACACAATATGAAAAGACTTTTTTAAAAACAGCAGGAATCATTTTTGTTCTTATTGCTAGTCATGGTTATAGTTTACGGGTCTTCAAAGGAGGTCAGGGGAATTCAGATGAGATCACTAGCTGAACAGTTCATTGCTGAAGAAACACAAGCTCCATCATGCTGCTGCATGGCCAGATTTGTATTGTGACCCACCTCTCCAGGCCTACAACCAAAGGGAGCCTGTTGACAACCATTTTTTGTCATTAGCTGATTATTATTATTATTTAGATTTATGCCCTGCCCAATCCAGAAAGGCTCAGAGCAGCTTACAATAACAGACAGACAACTCACAAGATAACACAAGCAAACATCTCAATCAGCACCCTAGAACGGTACAACTCCTCTGCACCCCACTTACTCCTCTGCTTCCTCCACCTACTACCCTGCTGGAGAGCAATCCTTCAGCCTGGCCAAACTGTGCTTTGCAACCCTCATTCACACTGAGGTATGTCAAACCCCTTCCCACTCCCCCACCATCATTCCTCTACTTCACATCGAAGGCTGATCCCTCCTCCATCCCCCAAAGAACCCTCAAACCTACACTCCCTCCCCTGCATTAATGAGATATAGGCACGCTCTCTCTGAGCTGATCTTGAATCATTTCATCTACCATGTTGCACGAAAACCTGGATTTAACATCCAGCTCCCAAATGAAAATGAATTTAAATTGCTGAAAAGGGAAAAAGTAAGAATGTTTTCATGAGTTGGTTATAACTGAATTTGCCTGAAGAAAGAAGTGAACAAACAATCTTTATTTTCAGTGAAGGAGAGGACATGAAAGGAATGGAGAAGAGAGTATAACTGGAGAGGCATTTTTCATGTGGTGTAACAGAATGGTAATTCCACAAGCAACTGTGTCATACATTACTGTATACATAAATTGGGGCTGTCAAACCCAGTCTCTACCAGTCTGGAGAAAACAGAGCTCAAAATAGCTTAGCTACTGGAACCAGGCTTAAAAGCAGACTCCAATTTTGCTCCGTTCAGCATTTAAGAAGTTCAAAGAAAAAAATATTCTTCACCCTGACTAAAAATAGTGGATTGTATCTAAAGCATTTACCTTACGTTCACTAATTTTGTTGGCTGTTGATGACAAGGAACAGGCAAATGCAGGGCTAGGAGAGGCAGAGGAAACTATGGGAGGCACCACCCAGAACTTGCAGCTCATGCAGAAAGTGGCAACGGTAAATTTAAGCCAAGTTTGTGCTTTTATTTTCTTGGACTGCTTCCAGGACATAATTTAGGCATTTTTTATGGAAACAGGATTGCAAGGGACTTCCTGAACCACTGAGTCCTTTCTTCTGGTTCGCAATAATTTTTTCAATGATTATCTATAAGACTGTCCCCATACAATAGCCAAGATTATTAAATAAATGCCTCAAGTAGAGGAGACAAGGATACTGTCAATGCCTTACCAATACAATGACAGGGAATGTGTTAGGTTAATATATGCTCAGATGATCCTAGGAAGAAGACCAGGCCCTGTACTGCAAAAAAGGCAAAAAAAAGTGAAGGCCAAAAGCTGGCATTTTCCAAGGGGTGCCTTGAGTCTAACAAGCTTGAGAACTGTTACGTTAATACACCCACTACTCTGTGCTTCAAGGAGTATGGCTGAAGGCAAAAAACAATTAGTTTCTTGCATCAAGTGGATTTCAAATGAACAAGGAGGGAAGCTGTTTTGGAACCAGATACAGCTTCCTCCATCTGTATCCTGGTCTGACAGTTCTGGCGTAAAATATGATTCCCCACGAAACCATAAGACACTTAGCACAGATCTTTCCTGTGCCAATAGCAGGATATTCTAATCTAACCTTTTTGTCACAGGGACATTCTTATTGGTCATTGTCCATGGCCTAGTGACCAATAGGAAGTCCAATGTGTCCATTAATTTGCAGTGTTGTTACAACATAACAATTATCTTATTTTTTTACCATTGAAAAGAATAAGGAAAGCTCTGGCTAGAACACAGCTACATGCTATAACATATACAGTATCACTGCCACACGTCAGGCCTATTTCATATTTGCCACTGTTCATTACGTACTCGGGTTCACTTCAAAGCTATAGGACTTATGCAGTGCTTATATTCATAGAATCAGAGAAGTCGGGTTGGAAGGGACCTTGTAGATCTTCAAGTCCAACCCCCTGCCTGGGCAGGAGAAACAAAACTGGGCTCAAATGATTCCAGCCAGCTAGGCATCAAGCCTCTTCTTAAAGACCCCCAGGGTAGGAGCCAGCACCACTTCCCTTGGAAGTTGGTTCCAGATCCTAGCCGCCCTAACTGTGAAGTAGTTCTTACGGATACCTAATCTAAACCTACTCTCCAACAACTTGTGGCCATTATTCCTTGTCATGCCAGGGGGCGCTAGGGGAAACAAAGTT